ATTGATTTCAAATCTTTCTCTTGAACAAGTTAAATCGTAGATATTAATTGTCATCTATCTCCTCTCGGTTTCAAGATGAACAACTAACACCCGTAAGTTCCTAGGATTTTTGTTCTCTCATAAGGTCCTATCAACCTCTCAGTCTGTTTATTCTCTTACGTTATAAATCGTTCAATTCTAGCAATCAATTATCTCCTCTCGATCTCAAGTCAATTACAAATATGCATTCATAGCAGCCGTCTACTCACACAATAATAATAAGCACAAGAAATTTATAAACGAAAGACAAACCGGAATGAAAGCAATAAAAACTAAATCATAAATCAATCCGAGTACTAACAAATCCTAGAATCTAAGATAAATCTAGCCTAGAAACATGATTTCAAAATATGAAAAATAAATATAAAAAATTGAGTTCGAAAGAGGAAAAGAAAAAGAAAGAAAAAACTTATTCGGCTCCGTCGATCATTTCTTCCCGGCTTTCTCCCTCAACTTGGTCGTGTTTTTAGCCTCCAAAACTCTCCAAAGATCTAAAAAATATGGCCAAGACTCCCCAAAATCGTGCCCTAGTGTCTCTTAAATAGTTGGGGTCGAGTCCTAGTCGAAATAGGTCGAAAAATCCCAAAAAATAGGAAAAATGCGTAAAATCCGTACAGGTCGCTCCCAGGGTCACACGAGTCGTGTGAAAAAATCGAGAGTTCATATCGCGACCCATCGGAACGATACGAGTCGTGTTTGTCTCCACACGACCCCTGTGAGTCTGGGCGTCCAACACAGCCCTTCAAACGTCATTTTCTTCCCTCTTCAAAGCTCCTGGTCGAGTTTCCGACGTCCAAGGTGGTCGGCAGGCGCCCCAGCTGTCGAAAGGCGTACAGATCGCCGGCCATGGCGAGTTCCCATTCTTGAAATTCCGGCCATTCTCGACAGCATCTTCATCCGCGCGAACTCGACGTCCAAGCTGCTTCTACGGCGAAATTCTTTCAGAGACGGTCCGAAATATGGTCTCCGGTGGCTGGGTAGTATCGTGGCGGCACGGTGATGGTGTGGACGCAGCTCATCAATGGCGGACTACATGTTGGTGCGTGAAAGTTGAAGGAGATGAAGACTTGATGGAAAAGACCACTTTACCCTCACTATATGGCTTTTGTTGGGCTGAATTTTACTAATCTTGTGGGCCTGAGCTGATTTAATGATATACAAGTTGGGCCAATAATGGATATGGGGCTGCCAATAATCTCCAAATAAGTCTTTTACTTGGCCAGTTCTAATGCAAGGCTCGCATTCTGTTTATGCCGTTTCTTACCGTTTTCGACTCCAAAAATTAAGTCGACCTATTTCCTGTCAAAACTCAAATAAAACACCTTCGTCATAGCTTAATAATATAATTAAAGAAATAATTTATTATATAATAATTAATTAAATAATAACTAATTATATACCAAACTACGACGAAACGAACACGTAAATCGCTATAAAATGCACGTAAATATGACGCATGTCAGGGTATAATTGCTCTCTTATTTTACTTTTTAATCACCATTGATTTGTGATCACATTGAATTTTTATTTGAGTTTTTTATTTGTTTTATGTGAAATAGGTACAGGACTTAACCAGACTACAACTTTGCAACGAGCTGGAAAAACACGTTGGAGTTCCCATTTTGAGTCCATTTGCAGTATGATAGATATGTATCGTTCTGTGATTATTGCGCTTGAGCATATGACGGAGGAAGCATCTTCTAATTCTATACGTGAGGAAGCTACTTGTGCTTTAATTGCGATGAGATCATTTGATTTCGTACTTATCTTATTTTTTATGCACAAGATTATGGCGATCACAGATTTGCTTTGTCAATCTTTGCAAGAGAAGTCTTTGGATATTTTAAACACAATGGATTTTGTGTCAACTACAAAATCGTCGCTTTGTACTCTTAGAGAAGAAGGCTTCGATACTCTTCTTAAATACGTGCATACATTTTGTGAAGAAAATGGCATTGAGATACTGGATATGGGTGCTTGTCATCGATCTTCTAGAGGACGTTTATGCCAACAGAAGTTACCCACAACAGTTGAACATCATTATCACTATGATGCTTTCAATGCGACGATAGATTTCAATTGGAAGAGCTTCGTAGCAGATTTAATGATGGAGCTATAGAACTTCTCCGACTTAGCTCTGCATTGGATCCTCGAGATAACTTTAAGTTGTTCAATGCCGATGATATTTATATTCTTGCCGATAAATTCTATCCAAATGATTTTAGTGGGAAAAAGCTACATTATTTGAGGAGTCAGTTAGAGCATTATAAGTTTGATGTTGTCAAGCATGAGAAGTTCCAAAATATTTCTACCATTTCTGATTTATGTCGACGGTTAGTAGAGACGAAGAAGGCAAGACATTACCATTTAATTGACAGAATGATTCGCCTCATTTTGACGCTTCCCGTTTCTACTGCAACATCCGAATGATCATTTTCAGCTATGAAACTTCTCAAAACTCCTCTTCGAAATAAGATGGAAGAAGACTTCTTGGCGAATTCTATGATCGTCTACATTGAAAGAGAGTTTACTTTGAAGATGGACACAGATTCGATAATTGATGAGTTTTATAATATGAAGAATCGGAGGGGGCATTTTAAATAAGTAATTTATTTTATTTTATTTTATTTTTTTGGAATAGTTGTAATGAACATGAATCATTTTATATGAGTTTTTTAATTAATATTTATTTTCTATTTTTCCTTTTGTAAATTTTACCACAAATCTTAAATCATTCTTATAATCGATCAGCCCAGGGTATTTTATTTTTCTCGCTACGCCCCTGGTGGAAGCCAAAAAGTTCTTTAAATTGGTTGAGGATGGAAAGCAAGAGGTGTATCCTGGGTGTAAAGCATTTTCAAAACTATCATTCATTATCCGATTGTACCTGTTCAAGTGTGTCCATGGGCTAACTAATGTGGCGTTTTATGAACTTTTGGAAATTATACAAGAACTTATTCCTAAAGCCAAGATGCCGAAATCTTTTAATGAAGCAAAGAAGTTAGTGAATGACTTAGGCCTTCAATATCAAGAGATTGATGCTTGTATGCTCTTTTGGAAGGAAAAAAAAGATGCCTCAACCTTCCATATTTGCCATACTTCAAGGTGGAAAACAACTGATAATGAACCTAAAAATGATGATAATCATCCGTCCAATGATACTTGTCGTATTCCAGCAAAAGTACTCTGGCACTTTCCCTTAAGACCTCGTCTTCAAAGGTGTATATATGTTCTGAGACGACTAATTATATGAGATGGCATGATGATAAAAGGAAAAAAGATGGGAATTTAAGACATCTCGCAGATGGAAAGACTTGAAAGAATTTTGATTCTCTGTATCCAGATTTTGCTAAAGAACCTTGTAATGTGCGACTAGTACTTGCAAGTGATGGATTTAATCCGTTTCGAACCATGAGCACCACGCACAGTACATGGCATGTTGTTTTAGTTAACTACAATTTACCGCTATGGTTATTTATGAAGTCAGAGTATTTAATAATGTCTTTAATAATCCAAAGGCCATTATCCCCAAGTAATGACATTGATGTTTATCTTCAACCTTTGATGGATGAATTAAAAGATATACGAGAGTGGGGTGCAGAGACATATATGTGTCAAAACGTCATACATTTCAGATGCATGTTGCTCTACAATCAACAACTAGTGACTTCCTTGGCTATGCTATGTTGTCTAGATGGAGCACAAGGGAAGTATGCATGCCCATTATGTCATTATGAAACATATCGCTTGTATTTGAACAAAAGCATAAAATCATGCTATATGGGTCATCGTAGATTTTTAGAAGCAAATCCTCCTTGACGCAAAGATAAGAAATCTTTCAATGGAGTAATTGAAAAAAGAGAGGCTAAAAAACCTTTAACAAGAACTGAGGTTTTATATTTGCTAAAAGATTTCAAAAATAAATTTAGAAAGATGTAGCCGAAAATAAGAATTGACGAATGTCTATGGAGAAAAAAATCAAGCCTTTTCACTTTGCCATATTGGGACTATCTTTCATCTCGCCAACACTTGGATCCTATGCATATAGAGAAAAATACCACTGATAGTGTGATCGGAACTTTGTTGGATATGCATGGAAAAACAAAGAACCATTATATGGCTCATTTAGACATGAAAGAAATGGGAATACGTTCATCATTACATCCTGTGAAGTCTGATAGCAACAAACGTTGCTTTTTGCCTAAGGCTTGCTTCTCAATGACTAAAAATGAGAAAACAATGTTCTGTGAAGTTTTAAAGAAAGCAAACTACCACAAGGTTGTGCATCGAATATTGGACGATGTGTGCAAATGAAAGAATTGAAGATATCATGCTACAAAAGTCATGATGTACATATTATGATGCAATATTTACTTCAAGTTGCAGTGAGGAAAACTTTGCCCAAGGATGTAGCTCTTGCTTTGATAAGATTAGGCGCATTTTTCAGAGGTATTTGCACTAAAGTTATCAATCCAAAAGATTTGAATCATTTGGAGGGTGAAATAGTTGAAATCCTTTGTACATTTGAAAATATATTTCCACCTTTATTTTTTTATATCATGCCACATTTGCCTATCCATTTAGTGGACGAAGTTCGGTCAAGTGGTCCTATAAGTAGTTGGTGGATGTTCTTCGTTGAGAGTTATCTTGCCAAGTTCAAATCATACGTTCGAAACCGTAGTCGTCTAGAGGGTTCTATTGTTGAAGGATATTTAGCGGAGGAGTGTCTGGTGTTCTGCTCGCGGTACTTGCATGTTGGAGAAAAAAAACGATCGAGAAGCATTCGCTCAAGCCACAAGAAAGTTGTTTCAAATGTTGAAATATCCCCTATATTTTGTCAAAATGGTTATCCTCTTGGGCGTAGAAAGAAGCAAAAGAAAGAGAAAGTATATCGTCTAGATTCTGAGTCCATAAAAAACTCTCAAAGGAGTACATATACAGCACAAGTCCATAACACTTCAATGGCTAGTTAGTGATGACACGATCTCAAATTTGCAAAAATTGGTGTAGTTGATGAAGATAAGGACTTCCAAAGCTCGGGTAATGATTATGTTGTTGAAGAATAAGTAAATGCTACTCGACTTGCCCACAGTATCAATGAGAACACCTAAATAACTGAAAAACAACCTGATTCGAGATGGTAAGCATTAAAAATTAGTTTAATATGTCTTTTACATTTAATCATTAGTCATTTAGTTCATTTGAAATGTTGGAGGAGATGCTAGTTGCATAACTCATATATGTATACACTATCATGAAATTTTCATACATTATTTGATCAAATATATTGAACTTTGTGTAGTTCTGTCAAAAGAGAAGCGAACTAGAGGACCAACTATAAGTAAATAAGTTAATCGTTGGAATCTAAATGATCGTCAGCCCATCTTCTTGAATGAAAAAAAGCGCCAGCCAGTTAGTCCTGATAAAGGCACTCTAATCAAATTAAGTCAGTTTTTGTGGTTCATTGGTTAGAGATTCTGTTCTTGCACCACTGAATTTTCTTGATTGGCGTCACGTTTCTAACAAAGATAAACTCTGGGAGTATATGAAGGTACCATTCTTTAAAATTTCAGAATTTTGGTGGTTCTCTGTACACGTTTTTTGTGTTTTTGGTTATATTTTGAATAGCACATTGTTAGAAGCACTACAATAGGTGTGGTAATTAATTCAAGAATTACTTTTCAGAAGAAATTCATTGTTTCGAATGAAGGGAAAGAATATGTGTTGTTTTCGATTGGTGCTCTGTGGCGTGCTCACAAATCTAGAATAAAAAAGAAGCACTACTTTGTGTGACAATGATGAAGATAGATGGAAAAGTCGACCAAGATCAATTCCAGATGCACATTTTAAGGAATTATTGAATTACTGGAATTTAGAGGAGGTTAAGGTATTTCTAGTAGTTTGCTATATTTACATATATAATTTGTTTAGGGAGAAATTAATTATAATGTTGTCTCATTACAGGAAAAAAGTGACAAGAATAAAAAGAACAGTGAAGCCCAAAAAGATTGACACACGATGGGTCCTATTTCATTCGCGATAAAACGACATGAGTTGGTAAAGAATTGTATACGCTTTTTATGTTCCCATTATATATATTTTTTTTAGTTTTCTATATAGCAAGTTTACTTATTATTACATTGTATGCTAATCAATAACTAAAATGTAAGTGTTTTTTAATGCTAAATTATTTTGTTACAGGAACAAGTTTAAAAAAGCCACCTTCTTTAGCAGCCATGTACATGGAAACTTGCAAAAGGAGTGATGGGAGAAAATACAAGACATCTTATGTAAGTTGTATTATACATGAATTCATATAATTATTTTTATACATTCTTTTAATATTTTCCATAATCAGGTGGAAAAACTACCAGAAGTTGGAAAATGCAAACTTTTGGGCAAACCTACCAAAAATGTAGAACAACCTCCTAAATTTGGTGTACAACTTATTTCTGATGAAATTCTACAGCCTTATAAATCTCAGATTGTGAAAGAAACAATAAAGGATGTGGTGAAATTATTAAAAGTTCAAATTTCCCCTGACATATTGGTCTCAATAACGTCATCACTCAATTATCGCCAGACTCTTGAAGGCACCAATGAAAAAGAATTACTGGAGGTAAAATCTTTAGTGGTTTAATCATACACTTGGATTCTTGAGTTTGATATATATATTTTTGTTGTAGAAATAATTGTTCGAATATTTTATTTCAAGATGGCTAATAGTTTGTATAGAAACAATACTCATTTTCAATCATATGACGGATATGATAGTTTGGTTTAGTTACTCATTGGCAATCATATGATAGATATGATAGTTTGGTTTGGTTGCTTATTTTCTGATATTAAAATTTGGTTTTAGGATTGTTTGATCTTGTGGAACGAATCAATAACTATATAAAGAGAATCCCTGATAAGCTTTTAGTTATAGTTCGTTCTTTCTTATAATTTATTCACGTTGGCATGACCAAAGTTAATCTTTCCATACTTTCTCGGTTGCATACGACTATATGTTATAAGCATAATTTCTAAGGATCTTTCTATCGCATTTTAAAATATGGATTTAATATTGATTATATCATATAAATGAATGTCTTTTTTCAGGACGATAATAGTGGAGCGAACTCACAATCTATCCCACTTCAACTTGATAATGACTGCATTGAAGGAAGAGAGCTAAGAAGTGAGGGTGACGATTTAGGGTGCTAAACTTATTATTATTTTGTTGAACCATGTTTAGAGATGTTCGTACTTTTGGTATATATTTTGGTTATAATTTCAGTTAATGTTTTGCGTTTGATGCATGATTTTTATAAGTAATAGCTAAAAACTTTTCATAAAATTAGATTGCAGGTGATGTATTATTATCAAATACGTACTATGGATATTTTGTAGAACAATTTGTATATGAATGATAAAAAGTTACACATGGGGGAATTTAAAGTGTTGGATAATAATTAAAAAATATGCCACGTACCATTAACTAAATGAATACGAAACCATCAAATTTGTTACCAAAAAATCATAATTAATAAAAAATATGTGTTACTACATGTAACATTGCAAAGTGTTACATAATTACGTAAAAGTATTACAGTAAAAACATGAAAAGTGATGCATGAAAATGTTACTCCCTCTGTTTTTTTTTTAGATGTCATTGTAGGATGTCAAATTCTTTGCAAATTAGTTGTCGTTGGAAATATTATATTCATTCTTACAATTTTATTGTCTTTAACAAACTTTATCTCTTATCATTATCTTTAAAAACCATCCATTAATAATTGAAAAACTAAATTTAATAAGATTAAAATATAAGATTATTACACAACCCATTAAAATTGTAATTTATAAGTTTTAAATTAAAACGACATCTAAAAAGAAACAGAGGGAGTATCATTTAAAAAATGCTACTGAAAAAATGTTACATTCCAATCAAAAGTGTGACGGAATAAATGTTACATTTGATAAAAAAAAAAGTGCTACATAAACAATTATAGATAGCATTTAACAAATATGATTTCAAGTGTTACATTAGAGTATACAATGTAACACATATTAAGTGCAACCAAAAACTACTATAAGTGTTATCATAGATAATAGGTAGCACATTTAGTAGTTCGGGCAACTTAGATGTGCTAGTAGCTCAGACATTAAAGAGCTCGGACAACTTAGATGTGTCTGTAGCTTGGACATATAATAGCTCGGGTATGATAACAGGTAAATAGCTCGGACAGGAAATAGATTGATCAATACAGTAGGCCGCGTCCGGGCTGCTAACAAAGGACACATGTAGAGTCATAAATGAAAGTGATAGATGATCTAACATATTAGAAATAAGCTAATTAACCAACAGACAGACCTACGGGTATCCTAGTAACTGACGGGCAGCCCCTGGGATAGTGAGGGCACCCGAGCAAGCTTTTGGGTAGTTTGGCAGGGTAAAACTTGTTCAGGAAGCCAATAATTCTCTATAAATAGGTGTGATTTCGGAAAATTTAAAGGTGAATCACACTTTATATTCTAAATTTTCAATGCATTTCCATATACAACTTTTCATATCACCTTCACTGAGTTGATCAGAGGTCTAATGCCGAGAACATCTTCCGACGTCTGTACATGTCTCGGGGAAACAAATCAGTCGAAGGGTCGTGGAAAGCCGGTTCGAGATATGAGAGCACATCAGAAGGAAAAGAAGAGAATGTGAGTATTAAAAAAATAAAAAATAAATAAATAAATAAAAAAAAAAAAAAGTTGAAGATCTTAAAAGATTTTGAACCATCCCAGATTTTGATCGGAGAAGAAAGCTTGACCAAGTCCCTGTAGTATCCGTACATGTACACGAAGCCATCGTATCCTGATATCGTTGACCACAACTCTACAAATTAAAGCGGTGGCAACCAATTTGTCAACTTAATAAGTATTTAAAACTTCCGTGGACTTGCGCCGCTGGATCAATGGAAGCTGCCAGTTCTTTGTTAATTAATATACATATTGTCACTTGACCGAATTCATATCCTCATGAGCAAAACTGAACAACACATTAACTATAATCTTAGAAGAGAAAGAAGAAGCTAAGTGTGAAATGTTCGTTGATGTTCAGAGTTAGGTCGATACCGTATTGAATATTACGTTGGGCACAAGCCTCGAATGAAGTAGGGCACTAGCCTCGATTGAAATAATCTCACTAACTCACAATATATAATAATTGTAAAGATATTATCTAATATAGCTTAATACAAAATATATTTAATATTACTCTCATGAATCTGTATTCAACTAGTATAATTCATGTTAAAAGTGATATTAAGGCCACTAGTTTCAATAAATTTTTTGCATCAAGTTTTCAGTTTGTGCTATCAAACATTAATAATCCAAAGTAACATATAAAGCACGCCAAACCATATATATAACCACACACATTATGATAGCATTTAGTTTACTGATTATGTGAATCAGCATATATATATATATATATATCCAAGAAATAATCCAACCAAGTAAACAGAACAAACAAAAATAACAATTCCAATTCAAGACGTCAAACCATGCACCTATTCATTCATTCAACTCTTAAAAAAATCATTGACTAATCCAAAATTAGCTGTCAATTGTAGTTATCCCATCCTTGGAAGCCCATAAATACACATCCAACCCAATCACAAAACTTGACCCCACACTTATTACAATCAATGGCTTCCCCCCAACACTACTCCCTTCTCATCTCCCTCACTCTCCTCATTCTACAAACATATGCTCAAAGTCAAAGCCCCCCAATAACCCTCCCAATCCACCTAGACACCAAAACCTCCCAATACTACACCACCATCCACATGGGCTCCAACCGGGCCCCCATCAACGCCATCCTCGACCTCGGGGGCCCGTTCCCATGGTTCGCCTGCGACAACTACGTCTCAAACACCTACTCCCCAATCCCCTGCGGCTCGGCCCGCTGTGAGGTCGCCAAGGGGATTGGGTGCGTGAGCTGCAATCTGCCCCCGAGGCCCGGTTGCACGAACGACACGTGCGCGGCCTCTCCCTACAACCCCTACCTCGACATGCTATTCGCAGAGGGCTTCGCGGAGGACACACTGTCCTTCGCTGCAGCCCGAGTCCCCGCCTTCATATTCTCGTGCATGCATGCGGAGGACTTGGGCGGCCTTGCGCGCGGGGCCACGGGCATGCTCGGCCTCGCCAGGGCCGAGACGTCGCTCCACGGACAGGTCGCCAAAAGTCTAGGCCTTCGCGACAAATTCTCCCTGTGTTTCCCGTCCTCGTCGGGAGTTACCGGGAAATTGTTGATCGGGCTCGGGCCGGGCCCAACGCCGGGCCTCGACGGAATTTTGAAATCCACGGCCCTCATCGTGAACCCGGTGAGCACGTACCCGATTTACGTGACGGGCGACCCGTCGGACGAGTACTTCGTCGACGTGCAGTCGATACGGGTCGCGGGTCGACAGCTGTCGATCAAGAGCTCGTATTTCTCGATCGACAAGGAGGGAGTGGGCGGGACGAAAATCAGCACCGTTCGGAACTTCACGTCGCTCCACAACTCGATTTATAGGCCGTTCACGAGGGCATTCGTGAAGGCGGCCTCGGACCTTGGGATCAAGAGTGTGGCGGGCGTGGGCTCGTTCCGGGCCTGTTTTAGCACGCGGACGGTACGAGCAGTGCCGGATATCGACCTTGTGCTGCCTGGGAGGGACGTTTATTGGAGGATAAGTGGCGAAAACTCGATGGTTGAGGTTGACGGGAGGACAACGTGCCTCGCGTTCGTGGACGGTGGGCCCAGCCCGAGGACGTCGGTGGTGATTGGTGCGAGACAGCTGGGGGATAATTATTTGGAGTTTGATTTGGTCAACTCACGGTTGAGCTTCAGCTCTTCACTTTTGGCCCACAACAAAAGCTGCAGCTCTTAATTAATAAGTGTTTAGCTGAGCTGGCAGATGTGTTTTACATTGATGTTGTTTTGTATCTTGTGCAATGACCGTTGATTGACTGGCGGCTCTTAATAAGTGTATGTATCGTATCGTATCGTATCACACATTTGCTTAGTTTGATTTGGTTCTTGACTCTGTATATGAAGAATGAGAACTGTCTATTTGTTAAAAGATATTCTCGATTGACAATTAGTGTAGGTGACCAAAAATAATTCCCCTCTATAATTTTTATGGGTATTGCTATAGGAACACTCACATCAAGTGAGTTCTATTAAAAATAAAAAATTAAGTGGACTCCACTCTATGTGAGTGTTATGTACATTTCTATGTACATTTATTATGTATTTGTAGCATTTTTTATTTTTTATATATAAGTTCGAACGTGTTGAGTTTAAATGGAAGACTCGCGTGCTTCGAAATTCAAAAATAGTTATAAAATTTTGGTTAAATTAAATTATTTAGAAAAAATTATACGTTACGAGTAGATACTCGTGGTATAAATATTTTTTTGAAATTAATTTTTGATGAGTGAGAATAATGATTAAAATTAGCAATAAATGGGCACGTAAACGATGGTTTTAGAATTCGAATGGTCAAAAGTCTTTCCCACATTGGACTCTTAAATGAGATTAACTCTCTTTATTGGAGAGGCCATAAAAATAAAGTTAGGTACCAAGTGTTGGTGTTGGCTTCGGTCACATGGGAGCGCACACGCACGCCCGTCTGCTCATCTCGGCTCGGGCACAGGCCTTGGCCTGGGACATGGGACTTCGGATTTGGTCCCTAGTACTTGATAATTGGACTGTGGGCTAGACTTGTGATGTAGAGCGTATGTTCAAACGGGAAATAAGAACATAAGAACACAGATATCTCTTCTTAATTTCAACGATAACTGGTTTTTATTTCACTGCTCATATGCATAAATACAAAAGAAGAGTCCCATCCTCTTCAACTTACCCTAAATCCTACATTTATTTAATAAGTAGACTAATAATAATATCCCATTAAATACTACTAATAATGATAGAAATAAAATCCCACGACAATTAAATTGAGCCATCAGTCAGCTAAATACGCAAACGGTCATACTTATTCAGAAACGCCAACGCGGTCTCGTCTCCATCATCCTCCCCGGGTTGGGCAGGATTCGGCCTCGAATCCGGCTGGGTCTCGTCTCCCTCAGAATTATCTCCCGCAAACGGCACGAGGTGTTTGACGTTGAAGACGTCAGATGTGCGAATATGAGACGGCAAACGAAGGCGGTAGGCATTGGGGTTGACCTTCTCCACAATCTCCACCGGCCCAATCTTCCGGGCAGACAACTTGTTATACTCGTGAGCCGGAAACCTGTCCTTTGTCAAAACAGCCCAAACATAGTCACCCACCTCGAACTCAACATGACGCCTCCGAGAGTCGGCCCGACGCTTGTAAGCCGCCGTAGTAGCCTCTAACCGAGCCCGAGCCGCCTCGTGAGTGGACCGCAAATCGGAAATGAAATCAGCCGCACGGCGGTCAACCGAAGCTAAGGAAGGGAGAGCAAGCAAATCCGACGGACCACGGGGCCTGACAGCATAGACGACCTCAAAGGGCGAGTACCCCGTGGCCCGACTAGTGGCAGAGTTGTGGGCAAACTCGGCCTGGCTCAACCGTTGGTCCCAACTGCGAATATTATCGCCCACCAAGCAACGAAGTAAGTTGCCCAAGGAACGGTTCACCACCTCAGTCTGCCCATCTGTCTGCGGGTGGTAGGCGCTGCTGAAGGCTAGCTGTGTGTTAGCCATCCGCCATAGGCTGCGCCAGAAATGACTCAGAAACCGAGTATCTCGGTCAGACACAATCGAAGATGGGAGACCATGCAGACGATAAACCTCACGAAAGAACAGCTGGGCCACGTGAACGGCATCCGTTGTACGCTTGCATGGAATAAAGTGTACCATCTTGGAGAACCTGTCAACGACCACAAAGATGGAATCGAAGCCCCGCTGGGTACGTGGCAGACCCAACACGAAATCCATACTAACCGCACACCAAGGCTGAGAAGGTAACGGAAGAGGCCTGTACAACCCAGCATTCGAAGCGACCCCCTTAGCAAGATGGCAAATGCGGCAACGCTCCACGAAGCGGGCAACATCACGGCGGAGGGTCGGCCAAAAATAGGAACGACGAACCAAGTCCACCGAACGGTCACGACCGACATGACCAGCCCCATGAAGATCTGAAATCAGCATCAACCGAAGACTACAATCCGGCACACAAAGCCGTACCCCACGAAAAAGAAACCCATCAGACAATACGTAATCCTCAAAAGGCCCGAGTGCCAAGGTGCGTACAATCGGGCCAAAAAAAAGGTCATCAGTATAGACCTCACGCAAAATATCAAACCCAACAACCGAGATGCGCATATCAGAAAGAAGAAGGGTACGCCTACTCAAAGCGTCAGCCACCCTGTTCGAAGCACCAGAACGATGACGGAGAACAAAGGTAAACTGCTGCAGGAAAGCCGTCCACGAAGCATGTCGAGCAGAGACAGTATCCTGGGATGCCAGATGTCGTAAGGCCTCGTGGTCTGAGAAGAGAACAAACTCTCGGTGAAAAAGGTAGTGACGCCAATGCCGCACAGCTTGGACAACCGCGTAGAACTCCACGTCGTATGTGCTGTATCGCAGTCTCGGGCCCGAGAGCTTCTCACTAAAATAAGAAACCGGCCGTCCGTCCTGGCTGAGGACAGCACCAATCCCCACCTTGGAGGCATCACAAGATAGCTCGAAGGGTCTCGAAAAATCAGGCAAGACGAGGACAGGAGCCGACGTCAACTTGCTCTTGATCAGAGCAAAAGCAGAGTCCGCTTCGGGCGTCCACACAAAAGATTTACCCACGAGGCAATCTGTAATCGGTGCCGTGATGGTACTGAAGTTAGAGATGAAACGGCGGTAGAAGGAAGCGAGACCGTGAAAACTCCGGGCCTCAGTGAAAGAGGTCGGAGTCGGCCAATCGCGAATGGCTGACACCTTGCCATCATCAACACGAATCCCTTCACCCGAAATCACAAATCCCAGAAACAGAACAGAATCCACCAAAAAACAACATTTATGGGGAGCAGCAAAAAAAGAGTCGGCACGTAAAATAAGAAGTACCTCTCGGACGTGCTGTAAATGCTCCTCCAATGTACGGCTGTAGATGAGAATATCGTCGAAATAAACGACGACACTCTTCCCGATAAGATCCCGAAGTGCCTGATTCATCACTCGCATGAAAGTGCTCGGTGCATTGGACAATCCAAATGGCATCACCGTCCACTCGAAGAGCCCCTCCCGAATCTTGAAAGCCGTTTTCCACTCGTCGCCGGGCCGGATCCGAATCTGATGGTACCCACTGCGGAGATCCAACTTGGTGAAGATAGTAGCCCCATGAAGTTGGTCCAATAGGTCGTCCAGCCGAGGAATCGGAAAGCGATACCGAACCGTGATCTTATTGATCGCCCGGCTATCAACACACATGCGCCAGGAACTATCTTTCTTCGGTACCAAAAGCGCCGGAACTGCACATGGGCTTAAACTCCGCCGAACCAAACCCCTCTGAAGAAGGTCCTCCACCTGTCTCCTCAATTCCTCGTGTTCAGCAGGGCTCATACGGTAGTGCGGTCTATTTGGCAAAGAAGCCCCCGGTACCAAATCTATGTGATGTTGAATGTCCCGTAGAGGTGGTAACCCCGAGGGAAGCTCAGTAGGAAAGACGTCAGCAAACTCGGACAGCAAGGGCTGAATGGATGCAGGTGGGTCCCATTCTGTAGCAGTGTCCGAACCCACGAGCAAAAGAATAAACGGAGCGACATGCATCTCAACTTCAAAGGCCGCCCGAGAAAGTAAAAGGACCGTCGACGAACTCGGAGGCGGCGTAGGACGTGGGGGACTGGGATGCAAAGTGATCCTCACACCGGCGAACGTGAAACTGTACGTATTAAGCCGACCGTCAAGAGAAGCTGCGACGTCATATTGCCAAGGTCTGCCGAGTAACAAGTGGCAAGCGTCCATCGGAACCACATCACACCATACTTGGTCACGGTATGTGGCCCCAATAGATAATGACACGAGGGCTCGCCGGTCAACCGTGATCGCACGGTCTCTGTGAATCCATGCGAGCTTGTATGGGCGAGGGTGTGGTTCACACGAAAGACCCAGCTTAGTCACAGCCTCTTGTGCAATCACATTCTCGCTCGAACCAGGATCTATAATAAAGCGGCAAACTTTGTTCCCAATAGTGCAAGTGGATTCAAAAATTTGATGTCGTTCCACGGGCTCGTCAACTGGGGAGTGAGGTGTTAAGCATACCCGCCGAATGACGAGTGTCGAGCCCAAGTCGCCATTATGATGCTCCTCGCTCAAACCTGGTTCAACATCAAACTGTGGAGGGCCGTTGTAGTCCTCATGCACATCGTGGTCTTCAACCTCCTCAATAAATAAACCCCGTGAATGCTGGCCTCGTGGACACGCCGATTGTCGATGACCAATCTCGCCGCAACCAAAACACCGAAGACCAGTCCCCGTGCGCTGTCCCGGTGTAGTTGTCGGAATTCCCACCGTGCCCGGCAACCGCGGCTGACTGCCGCCAGCTACCGGATTTCGCCCAGCCGCGGTAAGTTGTCCCGCGCCGTTGCCCGTCACTTGTGTAGCACGACCGGGCTGCATTCCGCTCCCACTCGGTTGGCCTGACCGCGGGCCCGACGAAAAAGGTGCCCCATTCCTTCGGTTCGACTGCTGCTCCACAAGACGGGCCCGTTGATGAGCATCGGAAACCGACTCTGCCCGAAAAAGGTTCAACATATCTTGGATTGACACCCGAAGCCCGCCAACATATCGCGCGACCAATTGATTTGTAGTCTCTCGAAGCTCAACACGAGTCAAAAGGCGATAGAACTCTTCCGTGTACTCATCTACGGAACGTACGCCCTGTTTCAAATTATGTAATTGCTGGTAAACGAG